TGTTCATTTCCTCTTCCTTTCATTTCTGATATTTCTGTTTTGCCTTTTCTGTTACCTTGACTAGATGTCAATCAATTGTATTATAATTAATATTTTCTAAGGACCAGCTTTTGGTTTTGAAAAGTAGGAGAGTGGTTTTTTCCTTTCAAAAATTGAAAAATTTCACTCTACTCTCTTCCTGCTTGGTTTCTGAGGAGAAGTCTGATCTAAGTCTAATCTTTTTTTTTTTCCTATAAAAGTAAGGTGGATTTTCCCATCTGACTTTTTTTCAATATATTCTCTTTCTCTTTGATATTTCCCAAGTTAGAATATGAGACTTAGTGTGCATTTTTGATGGTTAGTGTTCTCTAAGCTTTTTGGATCTACAGCATGCCATTAATCATTAATTTTAGGAAAATCTCAATGATTATTACTTATTTTTTTGGTTCCTTTCTGTGTACCTTTTCTTTTAGATATTCTCATTTTGTGTATTTTAAGCCTTCTGTCATTGCTCTACAGGTTATGGATTTTGTGTCCTGTCTTGTTTGGGTTTTGGTTTGGGTGTTTTGAGCTTTTTATTAGCCTCTGGTGAAATGGATTATTTTCAGTATAGGCCTTCTTAAGAACAGAATATTTGGTGTTTATTTTAAAATGCTGTCTTTATTTCTTCTTTTCCAGTTTTGGAGAGAGTATTTTGCCTGTGAACTCAATTAACTGATCTAAGTTTTTTCCTTTGAGGCCAAGAATGATGGCTTCTGAGTACCTTAAATGCCAGTTTCAAACCTGTTAAGTCTCTGTCTCCAATTTTTGATGATTGATTGCTGACTGCTTTAAAAATCATTGCCTATCCTCTTTTGGCTTTTACCCACATCTATACAAAGTGATTGGAAAGCCTTAGTCTTCCTTTGTTAGTGGCAAGAGATTATATCTTCTTAGGTTTTTGTTCTTGTATGTGAACCCTCATCCTAACCCAGCCCCTAACTTCAGTTTTTAAAAAGTCCAGATACTTTCTCATGCTTTGTGAAACCATTTCATGAAAGTGCTGGAGATGTCTGCCTTACCATCCTCAGATACCTCAATTATTTAGATAATAAGACCTTTTATACACTATTGGCAGCATGTGCTGTCATCATCTAAGGGATTCTGAGACCCAGGGTTCAAGCTATCCTGTTTCTGTATACCTTGTGGGAGCTTGTGGCAGGGCAGCCTTTAGAGTGGCTGGTCAGGAAATAACTTCCTCCTGCAATTTGAAAATGGTGATTTCATATTCTTCAGGAGGAAAGTACTTCTGAATCCTTTACGTGTTTTATAAATACTAGGGCAGATTTACCATCAAACTCTTTATTTATTTATTTTTTTACTCTTATGACTTTTAATGAACACACTTGTAGTTTACAACTCTCAATCTATTCCTCAGGGTTGAATAGGCACTGGGCACTTGTGTTCTAACTCTGCCGTAAAGAGCTCTGCCAGCATATTATCTCACTCTGTGTGCCTGTATGTGCCTCTAAGAAACCTTGAGGTACATAAGGCACATGGTTTTGTGGTTTGGTTTTCAGACTATCTTCCTAGTGTCTGAACTGTAAGTGCCAATTAGCTTTCTATAGATAGATTTTATTTATTTATTCATTTTTGCTGTGCTGGGTCTTCATTGCTGCACAGGCTTTTCTCTAGTTGCAGTGACTGGGGTCTGTTTTCTGTCTGAAGTACTGGGCTTCTCATTGCGGTGGCTTCTCTTGTGGAGCATGGACTCTAGGGCATGCGGGCTTCAGTAGCTGTGACTTGTGGTCTCAGTAGTTGCAGCTCCCAGGCTCTTGAGCACAGGCTCAGGATCTGTGGTGCACAGGCTCAGTTGCTCTGGGCAGCATGTGGGATCTTCCTGGACCAGGGATCAAACTCATGTCTCCTGCATTGGCAGGCAGATTCTTTACCACTGAGCCACCTGGAAAGCCTTAACTTTCTAGTGCATCAGATGAGAGAAAAAAGTGTCTGTAGTAAATATTGTAGAAGTGACAGGCATATTTCCCCACAAGAATATTTTCTTTCCATCATCAACATCTGACTACTTCTAAAGGCTTAGAATACTTTAAGGCCAAATTGGCTAGCTGGATCCTATTAAAAGTTTTACAGGTTTGTTGGACTCTTTTGTTTGGTGATGGGAATAGAAGAAAAAGCTTTCAGTTCAGCACTATGTTCTTATTCATAAAATCTTGTGCAGATTTGACCCTCTGCCTCATAAGTGCTATAAATGGTGGGTAAAATGAAGAATATGGAAGTTTTTCCTGACAAGGTATTGATGGTCTTAAAATGGTAACATTTGTTTCATTTATATAACATGTCTCTCACTTCTCCACATGTTCTGGACCCTGTTGTTAGTGAGAAATAAGATGTAATGTTCTGGACCCTGTTGTTAGTGAGAAATAAGATGTAATGTGATCAAAGTAAATATTTACATGTTCATTATGCTGCTAAATTTGTGAGGACGTATAGACAGAGTAAGTTCCTGATGATCAAGTCATAAAATAAATGTTTGGAGATGACAGAATCATATATAACCTATTCATATAAATGGTGTATAGATGTCTAGTCCCATTGGTGTCACACATCCTGCTATACACATATTTGGGGTGTTTTAGGACTTGGTGGCTAATGAAGATGTGACTATGAATTTCAGCCCAGAGGGGTGGGCTTTACTGAATCCTTCACAGAAGAAGCTCTACAGAGATGTGATGCGAGAAACCTTCAGAAACCTGGCCTCAATAGGTGAGGATGACAGCTTTCCTTTACTTTGTCAATTAGAGAACAAATGTTTCTTACTCATTGATATTCTTCCGTGATGACTTATGTGAAAGGGAGGATGTTGGTAAATAAACTAGACCTGTTCACAGCCAACAATGAATGTAGGATCTAATGCTTTCTGTATAATTTCTAATATTTTGGAATCATTTTTCTTCATTTGCAATTTAGGAGGGAAAGGGAGCAATCATGACATTGAAGATCAGTACAAAAACCAGGGGAGAAAACTAAGGTAAGTCACACCCATAACAGAAAGTAGTGCCTCATATGTGGCTCCTCATTTGTGGTAAAATTTTAAAAGAAGGGGCCTAAACACATAATGCCTACTTCACATTTATTTATTCTCTGAAAAAATTTTCTCCAAATCCTTTATAACATGGGACATAGATGTCTAGCATTTGGAAAATAGTTCTCTTGAAAATAGTATTTAACAAGCCCTATATGTGAATGTCACTTTTGGTAATTCCAAGAGTGAAATCTTGAAGGGCATTCCTTTTTCAATTGAAAACCATTCAGACAAGGGAAATAACCTACGCTTTTGCTATAAATCATAACAGTGTAGCTCAAGTACCCTGCTAATAATTATTTAATTATTAGTAAAGAAATCATTATTCGTGTGATCCCCATTTTTTACAGAAGTCATGTGATTCTATGCAGGGAAAGAGGGTAGTCAGTGTGCAGGAAACTACAGCCTTATTCAAAAACTCAGTGTAAACAAGAAGACTACTAGAGTGAAACCATATGAATGCAGTGCATGTGGAAAAAGTCTTTATGCATCATCTATCCCTTAATAGGCATATTAGGCATCATAATGGACATAAACTAGATGAGTACCAGAAATATGAAAAGAAGCCATATAAATGTAAGGAATGTAGTAAAGCCTTCAGTTATCTTCAGTGTTTTGAAAAACACAAATGAAAGCACAATGGACAGGAAAACTATAAATGTAAGAAATATGGGAAAGCATTTCGTTTTCACACTTCCTTTCAAACCCATAAAAGGCTTCATACAGGAGAAAAGCCCTATGAATGTAAACAATGTGGGAGATCCTTTATGTGGCTCACAACCCTTCAACGACACATAACCCACGCAGGAGATACTCCTTATAAATGTAAAGAATGTGGGAAACTCTTTAAGTGACTTACAACCTTTTGAAGACACATGATAACGCACACTGGAGATGCTCCTTATAAATTTAAGGAAATGGGAAAATCTTTAGTTTTTTAAGATTTGCACTACAAATACATGAAAAAACCCACATGGGAGAGAAACCCTATCCATGTAAACAATGTGGAGAAACCTTTAGATATCATCAAACTTCAAATACATGAAAGGACTCACAGGAGAGAAACCCTATGAATGTAAGCAATGTGGTAAAGCTTTTGTTTCTTCTGTAGGATTGAAAAACCATGAAAGAAATCACAATGGAGAGAAATTCTATAAATGTAAAACATGTAGTAAAGCATTCAGTTATTCCGGTTCTCTTTGAACATGAAAGAAATCAACTGGAGAGAAACCCTATGAATATAAGGAGTGTGGAAAAGGCTTTATTTTTCTCTCAATCCTTAGAGCAGACATGATAAGTCACTCTGGAGGTGGACCTTATAAATGTAAAGAATGTGAGAAAGCATTCGTTACTCCCAGTTCATTTCAAATACATGTAAGGACTCACACAGGAGAGAAGCCTTATAAATGTGAACAATGTGGGAAAACTTTCAGTTGGCCTACTTCCATTCACAGACATGAAAAAAAAATCATAGTGGAGAGAAACCCTGTAAGTGTAAGCAATGTGGTAAAGCCTTCAATTGTTCCAGATCCTTTCAAAGCCATGAAAGGAGACACAGTGGAGAAAAGCCCTATGGATGTAAAAAATGTGGTAAAGCCTTCAGGAGTCCAAATTCCTGTCAAAAACATGAAAGAATTCATAGTGGAGAGAAACCTTATGAATATAAGGAACGTGGAAAAGCCTTGAGTTCTCTCACCAAATTTCAAAGACATGTAATGAAGCACACTGGAGACAGACCTTATAAATGTAAGGAGTGTGGGAAAGTCTTTGATTGTCCCAGTTACTTTCAAAGTCATGAAAGGATTCACAGTGTAGAAAAACCCTTTGAATGTAAGGAATGTTATAAAACCTTCAGTACTCCTAGGTCCCTTTGAAAACATGAAAGAACTCATACTGGGAAAAAACCTCATATATGTAAGGAATATGGTAAAGCCTTTAGGTATCCCAGCTTCCTTTAAAAACATGAAAGGAGTCATACTGGGGAGAAATCCTATCACTGTAAACAATGTGGTAAAGCCATCACTTATTTCAGTTCCCTTTGAAGTCATGAAAGAACTCATAGTGGAAAGAAACCCTATGAATGAAAGGAATGTGGGAAAGCCTTCATTTTTCCCTCAAAATTTCATTTACACGTGATAAAGCCACTAGAGTCAGACCTTATTTGTGTAAGAAATGTGGGAAAACCTTCAGTTGTTCCAGTTCATTACAAAACCATGAAAGAACACACACCGGAAAGAAATCGTATGAATGTAGGAATTGTAGTAAAGCCTTCAGTTGAGTTCATTCTTTACAAAACCATGAAAGAACTCATATTGGAGAGTAACCCTATGAATGTGAGAAAGTGGGAAAGCTTTTAGTTCTATCACCAAATTTTCAAGACATGTGGTGAAGCACAATGGATAATGTAAGAAATGTAGGAAAGCCCTCAATTTTTTTCAGTTCATTATGAAATCAGAACTCACACTGGTAAGAAACCACATGAATGTAAAAATTATAGGAAAGCCTTCGATGGTCCTAGTTCTGTTCAAAACCATGAAAACACTCATAATGGAAAGTAGGCCTATGAATGTAAGAAATGTAGGAGAACTTTCAGTTGTCTCAGTTCATTCTGAATACAGAAAGGAATTCACACTAGAGAATTCCTTTGAATGCAAAAGAAATATGGTAAAGCCTTCAGCAATTCCCATTATGTTCAAATGCATGAAAGAACTCATAACAGAAACTGAATGTAAGGAATATTGGAATGCCTTTGTCACATGACATTTTAAGGATGCAAGATGATGCACATCATGTAAATGTGAGAAATTGGGGGATTTTCTCTCATATTTTTGGGAAAGAACTCACTCTAGAGAGAATTCTGTTAAATGTAAACAATATATGAAAACCTTCATTTGCCTTACATTCTTAAAACCATGTAAGAATGTACACTGGATAGATACCATATAACTAAAATGAAAAGTAAAACTATTCATTTGAAACAAATATCTTTATAGTAATATGAAAACTGCACTGGAAAAAATTTATGTTAATGTAAGTAATATGGGTAAGCCTCTGCAAATCCATGTAGAAAGCTCTCAAAGTTACAATATGGAGGAAATGTTATAAACTTTAAACATATACTTTCCCTACCAGTGGCATACTCTTAAAGTTATTCTCTGAAGTATGGAGTTCTACTTATTTTTGTAAGTAAATATTGAGGTAAGATAATTGTGTTGATACTCTTTAGGCTGTTGTTCCTAAGTTTAATAAATAATTTAAGCTTTTATCAGTTAGATTTTTTTATTTTTACTGTTAAGACTCTTTGGTCCATGGGTGATTTGCAGTGTATTTCTAATATGCAAGTAGGTTTCATTTTTAAATAATTTTGTAATTTTTGTGTAAATAAAGGAACACTAAAAAGTGACATTTTGGTACTTGTTTGTTTCTTGAGGCAAGTACTCAATACTCACCATCCCTTTTACATTATATTCAAACTTTTCATTGGCTTAAGAGCTTTATTCCATTTGCTTCCTAACAGAAATGTAATAAAGAGTTGGGCATGTATTTGTAAGTATACAGAGTTCTTCATGTAGTCTCATGTGAATTATTCATCTTTTGTCCTTTGTTATTTGTCATTCCTTCTGGCTCGGATTTGGGCTCTGGAATATTGAGAGACCTGTGTGATGACAATAAAATCTAGAGTTGGAGATGACTCTTTTTAACTGTTTTGTCAATGTGAGTAATGTGAACTACAGTTTCTAGATTGTTTTTTTATGGTCCCATGTTAGAATTCACCAAAGCTGAATAGACAGGTAACTTGAAATGCAGAAGTGAAATAGTATTAGGTAGATTTGGAGCCACCTGTATGGAAAGAGACAAGAAGTATAGGGCCTTTGCGGGCACTTGCTTCAAGCCTACTTTCCTCATTTTTTGCTCTGCCAGTCAAGAATATCCTCAAAACTGAAGAGTCCAAGATAGTAGAGTAGGAAGACCCTGAGCTCACCTTCTCCCATAGGGATACCAAAATTACAACTATTTGCCAAGCAACCATTGATGAGAAAGACCTGAACACTAGCAGAAAAGATCTACGGGTAAAGATAGGAAGAAGGACCCACAGTGAGACCAGTACGAAGGGTAGATAAAAGTTATAGTCAAGACCCATGACCCACAACAGGAGGATAGTTATAATTGCAGAAGTTGTCCCAAGGAGCAAGGGGGTCCAACCCCTGCCCCCATCTTACTCCCAAGCCTAGGTGTCCTGCACTGGGTAGATGAGCCCCCAAAACATTTGAAGACTGCAGGGCTTGCTTACCAGAGAGTAAGGGGGCTGTAGGAAATAGAGACTCATTCTTTTTTTTTTTTTTCTTGGTATTACCAATATTTTATTTTATTTTATTTTATTTTTTTCCATTTATTTTTATTAGTTGGAGGCTAATTACTTTACATCAGTGCAGTGGTTTTTGTCATACATTGAAATGAATTAGCCATGGATTTACATGTATTCCCCATCCCGGTCCCCCCTCCCACCTCCCTCTCCACCCGATCCCTCTGGGTCTTCCCAGTGCGCCAGGCCCGAGCACTTGTCTCATGCACCCAACCTGGGCTGGTGATCTGTTTCACCCTAGATAATATACATGTTTCGATGCTGTTCTCTTGAAAGATCCCACCCTCGCCTTCTCCCAGAGTCCACAAGTCTGTTCTATACATCTGAGTAGAGACTCATTCTTAAGGGGTGCACATAAAATCTCACATGCTCAGGGAAAAAGCGGTAATTTGAAAGGGGCGTAAGTCTGACCCACCTGCTAATCTTGGAGACTCCTGGAGAAACAGGAGGCAACTGATGCTTATCCTTGGGACACAGACACTGATGACAGCCATTTTGGGAGGCTCATTCTAGGATACTGGTGCTGGTCCTTCTAGTTTATTAGTGTGAGAGACCTGTGCTACTCATTGGCTTCAGTATTGGGATGCCGCAGGCCAGGCAGCTAGCCAGGCAAGGTCACAGCTTCACGCACCATATGACCAGCTGCCTGAAGACATTTTGAGCCCCCAGTTGCCCTGGGGCCCCTGTGGCCCCACAGCCAGTTGTTGGGATCCAACCCCGATTACCAGTGGGGCAATATCAGCTTTGGGATACCCTAGACCTTTGGGGGCTTCCCTGGTGGCTCAGACAGTAAGAAATTCACCTGCAATGTGGGAGACCCGGATTTTATCTTCTCTGTTGGGAAAATACCCTGGAGAAGGGAATGGCAACCCATTTCAGTGTTTTTGCCTGGAGAATTCCAGGGACAGAGGAGCATGGTGGGCTACAGTCCATGGGGTCACAAAGTTGGACACAACTGCGTGACTAACACACACAGGCCTTGTAGCCATCTGTAACAGAAATAAGCCCTGTTCACCAGTGGGCTGACACCAGCTCTGAGACCCCCAGCTTACAGCAGTGAAAGACTCCAGGATCTGGCTCTACCCACCAGTGATCTGGCATTAACTCCAGGACCCCTTAGACTTCAGCCCAACCACCAGCTCCAAGACACCTTGGACCCTCCAGCCAACCACCCTGGGGTTTGGCTGCAGTTTCCAGCAGGCAAACACTAGATTGAACTGGCATTACCAGACCTGGTGGCCTATTGATTCCCAAAGACTAGCCTCAAACAGGAAGGGCTGGTAGGAAACCCTGAAACAGATCCTGTGGTGAACTGGCTCCCTCTCAATCTTGCCCTGCTCAAAAGTTGAGTCTTGCCCTCCAAAGTTCCTGGTACCTCTAAGGAACAAGCTTTGCAATCATCTCTTGCCCCTAACATACTGACACTGGAGACCAGAAAGCACATAATGACTTCAGGCTGGCTCTGATGCACACAGACGGACCCTGCTTAGATTATTTGCCTCTCCAGGAAAGGGAGGAGGGGCTGAGTGGGGGGTGCAGCATTTCTAGTGAGGAACTGCAGGGCATCAGGGCAGGGTTCTGGTCAGAATGAGGCCTGTGGAGCCAGGCTTCATGCAGAAGCAGTGGAAAACCTCCCACCAGGCCATCCTGGGCTCTGGTCATGAGTCCCTCAGGACCGTGGATAAGCCTGAGAGGAAGGCAGGTGGTACTGGTTCTTCCTGCACCTGGAGATAAGGAGACCCAAAGGAGGGCAGAAAGGGTCCTCAAAACACTGTCAGCCTAGAAGCTTTTATTGCTTGTTTAGTCAGAAAAGCTTGGCGGTACCCCACCCCAACCCCCACCAAGGCAGATTTGGCCCAAGGCCTGACCCTTAGGGTTGGGGTTTGGGAGAGAGACCTAGACCAGGGCCTTAGAATGAGAAGCTCCCACTTTCCTTCAGGAGACGTTCCTGACCAGCCCTGGAGCCCTCTTCCCCTACTTTCAAGAAGCAGGATCCTGCAGATGTTGGGGAAGTAATCACATGGGCTTTGGGACCCTATTCCAATCATATGACATCAAAGCAAAGGACAAGGTCTCATATTCCAATCAAAACCTTGGGACAAGGACAAGGGTGGCTTCCCAGTGCTAGAGCAAGACACTGGGTGGTCAGGGCACCAAGCTGCTTCTCCACTGCCTGGTCCCAGGGAGCTCCTCAGACTGATCTAGTGTGTGGAAACTAGAAGGATAATGGGGAGGGAGGGAGTCCTGGATGAGCTGTGTTCTCACACCTGAACCAACTTACAGATTCTTGGTGACACTGACCTAGGGAAAACGGGTGGGGGACAAGCACTCCTGCCCACCTGAGGGAGAGAGGGGAGGCCATGGTTAAGGCAGAGCTGTTGAGCTATGGCTCCCTCTGGGGGACCCCTTGTGCTCCCAATTACAGCAGCTCTTTCTTTCCCTGTTGTTTTCCACCCTGGGGAAACTCTGTTTTTGTGGCTTTTTTTTTTTTTTTTAATTACTTTTGGCTGTGCTGGGTCGTTGTTGCTGCATGCAGGCTTTCCCTAGTTGCAGCGAGCGGGGGCCTGTTATAGTTGTGTTGCACCAGCTTCTCATTGCAGTGGCTTCTCTTGCTTCAGAGCATGGGCTCTTCGATGCACAGGCTTCAGTAGTTGTGGCTTCTGGGCTCAGTCGTTTCCATGCTCTGGAACACAGGCTCAATAATTGTGGTGCATGGGCTTAGTTGCTCTGCGGCATATAGGATCTTCCTGGATCAGGGGTCCAACCTGGTGCC